GTTTATGTTTAAAGTTATGCTACAAGTCAAAGAAAAGAAAAAAGAAATTGTAGCAACTACAGAGGGTTTGGTTGACATTGGTTTGTTATTTTTATACTGTAAAAATAATAGCTCTGAACTTTGACTCAGGTTTATAGTTAAGCTATGAAAAACTCTCATCAATCAAAACGCTGCATGAGTCAAGGAGGAACGCTTCTCGCGCCAGGCTGTCCCTCACAAGGTTAACTCCTGCTTCTGGTGCTGCTTGAAAACAACTTTCATCCTGAATTAAGCTTTCAGCCCTCAAACTTGGCAGTTTTTCCAAGAATCATCGATATCTATGCTGCTGACACTTGTTGAGCACCTCCTTATCACAGAAACCAAGCCCTCGATCTGCTTTCTTATTTCAAAGTGCTGAAAAATTTTCCCAGCAGATTTGAGAGTTGTCTGAGGCGGGGGATGTTCATTTTATCAGCCATGGCTTTCATTCTCAGGGCAGAGTACACAGAGTTCCCATCCTCTGCCTTCTGATGGCGATTCGGTGTGGCCAGTGACTTAGGATGCACTAAACCCTCCTACGTGCTGCAGTCCCTGCGGCCATGGAAGTGACAGCCATGTGCTGCAGCCTGCCACGAAACGCCAAAATCGGGGTTGGCTTGGACTGACAACAGAATTTATCACCGAAAAGCCCTGTATCTTCACTGAGGTTGGTTGCTCTTTGTTCCTGCGTACGTATGAAAAGAAAAGGGCTTTCCATAATTTCCTGTTGTTAGCATGCTAGTGCACGTGGGAGGTTGGACCGTTCGAGGCTGGGCTTCCCAGCACGGGTGTGCCAAGAGCACCGTCACGCCGTGTTACACAGCACCCAGGGGAAATCAGTCTATATTTTCTCTGTGACATTTCTGCATTTTCTTGGAACTTGTCTTGCTGGCTGCTCTTTCTGTTGCTTCACCTAGTTCTGCTTTCTTGTTCATTCTTTTTCTTGGGTTTGTCAGGGCATTGGGGGATGATCCTGCAGATCCTCCAACTCGGTGGTACCGGTGCTGCTCCGCAGCCTCCCCAAGTAGCCTGTTGCAGCCTGAGCCCATTGCTGCCCTGCTCCGGCGCTCCCTGCTCGCCCACCCAAGGAGCACCACCACACCCCCATGCCTGTTCTCTGCCATGAATGGGACACAGTGATCCCGTGTAGGCCACCTTCCCAGGTCTCCGCTGGTTCCCTGCGTGGAGGTTGGTGCGGCTCTTAGGTTTCGGTGTCCCAGAAAGGGCACCGTGCTGCAAGGGAGCTGTACTGGTGCAGAGCAGTGAAAGGAGTATTTCCAGTGTCATATGGGATGCTTTTCATTTTCACTTGTTCGATAGCATCCATTTGTTTGTTTAGTGGTTTTGGACCTTTCAGAAAGAAACTGTTCCATCGTCCTCATAATCACAAATGTAGCCTTTTTTTTTTTTTTTTTTTTTTTTTTTTTTTCTTTTTTTTTGCTTTATTTTCCTGTATTCGTGATAGGAACAGTGTTCCCTGTAGATGACCTGTGGTGTATGCTCGTCTCCCACCCAATTTCATTTTTTTTCTTGAACCTTTTTATTGGTCTTCATGCATACCAACTTGTGTGCTTTTCAGACTTACCAAGTGCAAGTGTTTGGGCTGCCTTCTCATGGGTCTGATGAATACTTTGGACGATGAGACCTAATACCTTGCTATCTTGGTGGTCAATATGAATTTTAATTTTTTGAGGACCTGAAGTTGTAATGGTGTCAGTCCTGTGCAACTTCTGTATATTATGTATCTATCTTGTTGTGATGCTTCCTTTGTTGATTGAATGAAAAGTATGTTGGTAGGTTTAATGAAAAATAGCAAGAAATCAAAGCTGCTATCTTGGGAAGACTTTGATAATAGATTTGATGGAGCAGATTTATGGTTAATTAGGGTTAACTCTTTTCTGAATGTCCAGAGTTGTGTGGATTTAAAATTTTAATATAATATTGCAGTTGTTCTGGAGGACCTTATTATTTTTTTGGAGCACACATGTCAGGGGGACCTGTGTTAAACCATGCTTGAACCCTAGCACAGATTAGGGAGAGCTGTTTGTGGCGGTGGGAGTTTCAGCACATCGTGTAAACGAAAACAATTATGCTTAGGCAGAATTTACCTGCTTTCTTATTTTTGGCAGTACAAAGCCCTCTTCCCATTTACGGCACATGGGCTCTTTCGCTTTTTTTCTCCCAGCACTCATTAGCAAGATAGGGTAGAAGAGGCCTGGGGTGTGGAGATAAGGGAGAGCCGGTGAACGTACTGGTCCTGGAGACTGTGCTGGAGGATGCGGTGGTAAAGCCTCACAGCTCGTTGGGTGGGCAGGGGAGCGGTACGACATGTCCTGCCGCCGCGGGCACAGCCAGCGCTCCGGACGCGCTCCCTGCGAGAGCTGCGCGAGTCGTTGGCACTGTCCGGCTGCACCAGCGAGGCTGCGAGGGCACTGTCCCCTCCCAGCAGCTCTGCTTTGGGTACATAGCAAACGAAATTCTCCCTGTGGGGATTTCAGCTGTGTTTCAGCAGGCCCTGCACCTGTCTTCAGCCCTCAGGGCCTTTGCTATATGCAGCCCTCGCTTCATATCTCTGCAGGATGCTTTGAAACCTGAAGCGTTTTCTAGAAGCATTGCCTGTGCACGCTGATATCCACCTTCTGTCCTGCCTTTCACCTCTTGGTGCTGACAGTCTCCATCTTTCTGGAGGGAGGCGACAAGGTCAGCCCCGCGGAGGCTGTGCTCTGGTCCCAGCCGAGCCACCGCTTGCAAGCTACCCCCGACTGCTGGGAAGGGGCTGTGGGTGCCTCTGTGAGTAGTTGTCCCCACGTAGCCAAGACGGAGATTGCCGTGTGCATGGCAGGTGTGGGTATTTTAAGCCATTGCAGGGACTTTAGCAGCCTGAGTGGGTTATCCTCTGCCCTCCTGCCTGCTCTGAGCTCCGGCTTGTTCCACAGCAGAACAGTCAAAACTAAAAATTGAATACAAAATACAGACTAGTCATGGTTCATGCACTTCAGTCTAAGGTCACAGTGGCACAGCACATCTCCAGATCTGGGTCCAGACTGCTTTTCTAGGATCTCCTGCATCAGAGTAATAAGAATTGCTGTAACATCGAGCGTTTGTTCATGGGTAATTGTGCTAAAGGCTCTGCTTTTCTCTGTGGTGACCAGAAGGGCAGCCTTGCTGCGGGGCTGAACTGCTGGATGTCACTTCTATTCTGACCAGTGCATGGTTTCATGACAGCTGCACATCAGTCTCACAGCTGGAGGTGCCTTGCACTGACTGCTGCCGGGGACTGGTAAAGCGCAGGAGTGCTGGCCTCCTTGCTGCCTCCCTTAGCCAAACCCACCAAGCCCCATAGCCTGTGCTTTCCCCTTCACCCTCTCACTGCTCTCAGCCCTGGTGCCCACAGGTTGACTGTCACCGTGAGGAGCAAACCAGCCCGACAAAAAGCTGGTTTTTACCCTCTTGGGTCCCGGCTGTGGGAGGCTAGGGGCTTTTCTTCCCATCAAGGAGGCAACTCCTGGCGCTCCACCTCCTAAGTGGCGAGTGGCAGGAATGTGAGTGATGCAGGAATTGCCATCGCACCAGGGGGAAACCAAACGTCTGGCCAGATGACAGCTCTAAGTTTAAGGGCTTGGTGTCGAGCCATGTGTGCGTTAATGTGCCCTTTTGTGAGCAAGCTAAAGATAATTTTCCTGTCTGGAACAGCAGCTGCATTGTAAGTTGTATAAAGAGACTTCTCCACTAATGAAGAGTGATCATAAGAGCATGATCTGCCCTGAGAGGATGAGCAAAGCTGGAGAGATGTGACTCGAGGCAGGACTCTGACACTCTGCAGAAGCTGAAAATGGGCCATTTATAGACACTCAAAAGATGTTTGGCTCCTTGAAAAATGCACAGGCCTTGCTGTTATTTTAATGAAAATGCCACTTGAAAGAGTAACAAAACTATTTTTAAACTGTAGGAAAAGTCACTTTAAATTATCTAGAGTTCAATATTCTCTGCAAAAATTGAACCAAAAAAATGTAAATACACAGACAGCGCTAGAGAACAAAAGGAAACTTTCAGCAAAAAACCAGAGTTGGATACACTCTTGTGTGTTGTAGTGAGTGTATTTTTAACCCACCTGCATATTTTAAACAAGTTGACCTTCACAGAAGGTCTACTACAGTCCTTTACTCCTGGTAGAGGTCCAGTTACGTGTGCATGATTGTGTAGGAGACATGGGACTAGTCTTTTACTCCTGGTAGAGGTCCAGTTATGTGTGCATGATTGTGTAGGAGACATGGGACAAACCCCTGGGTCAGCAGGGATTATCTGGGTAGGTCATTTAGTACGTTACTCCCACTTCTCTTCTTGAAGGGTTGGTTTAGAGGTGCAGTAACACTCAGGTCAACTGCTTAGCTTGCAGCAGCGCAAACACGTGTTGTCTCAGGGCAGGTGGGTTCCTAAACAGCAGGTTTAACTGGCAGCCTCCTGAACAAGAGTGGATAATACTCCCTGATCTCCTTGTGGCTTTAAAACACAGGAAGGGGTGCCACGCACCGTATCCTTGTAGAAGTTTGCAGGGCTCAGAGGTGCTCAGTGATGCTACAAAGCTGTTTTCCCACCTGGTGACAACGCTATCTGGAGTGTCATGTGCAGGGAGGTGTTACTGGTGCCTTGTAAGGGCATGAAAGCTGCAGATTTTACGATTTGTGGTTTGTTGTCCTTCAAGGAAATAAACACCTAGGACACTTTGTTAACATCTCTCATTGCTTGGAAAAAGACATCTCTAGCCAGGGTCTGGTACAAAGTAGTTCCTCAGTGGTGCCCTGTAAGTCTATGACGGGGCAATATGTTCCTGAAGTTGTGCCACTGTCATGACCAGGGGCTGTTGTGTGCATGTAGGATATGGATGGGGGAGCCCTGAGCAATCTGACCTGGCTTTGAAGTCACCCATGCTTTAAGCATAAATGTTCTGCAACCCTGTGGTATTCAGCATTCCCCGACCAGCCGGGCTACAGTGTCATGTCTTGTGTATTCAGTATGACGCTTCCTGTTTTCATTTCAGGTCTTGTTTTGGCATAAAAGTGAGATTCACGAGACTCCTCTAAGATGTCTTACAGAAAGGAGCTAGAAAAATACCGAGACCTGGATGAAGACAAGATCCTTGGAGCTCTGACAGAGGAGGAGCTCAGAAAGTTAGAGAATGAACTGGAAGAGCTGGATCCTGATGTAAGTAATTTTTTATGTGAGATTTGGTAGGTGGTAAATCTCAGTAGTTGTGGTGGAATGGGCTGCATTAGTAATCTGTATTTAAGTGGGATCCTTTGCAGAGCCTGTACTCAGCGCAAGGATGGAAGAGACTGGCCACAGATGGGCAGAAGCAATTTTGCCATTGCAAGCATGGACTGCGCGTGGGGTTTTGTTTTGTTTCTGTGATGTTCCCTTGCCCTTGCTCCAGTGTGCATGATCCGGTGTGACGAGCACTGTGATTTGCAGCACCGACCTGACCCAGTGCTGGTGCAGGGCAGTAAACCTGTGGAAACTGGATCTCTGCATCTGGTCAGGCCACCTTGGAGGGAAGGTTTTGGGATTTGTGGGTTGTTTGGCATTTTTTTCGTAGCAAACTTCAAATGGTCTGTATTCTCTTCCATTTAGGCAGAAATCCAAATCCTGGAGGTTTGCAAAATGGGACAGTTGCTTTTTAGCAACCTCCCAACATCAGCAGGGGCTGCATATATGCAAACACTGGGCCTGCTGGTGCCAAGCGATGAAAGCTTTTTGGAGGCGACGTTGTCCTGCGGCCCTAGCAGGGGATGTGCAGAGCCAACTGGCAGGTGTCTGGGTTGCGGCAACATTAGATGATGAGGCTGGGCACTGCCAATTCAGAAATTGTTCCTGCAACGTGCAGTTAGTGTTTCTGGGGGAAATGATGGGCAGTGTAGATTGCATCATCAGTATTTTTAATTGCAACATGGGAACATAATAAAGAGGCTGGCTCCTGGGATTAAGCGTATGGGCTGATGGACTGGTTACAGCTGCCTCAGAAGACAGAGTCAGGCAGCATTCTGGGAAAGATGCAGAAAGGTAAAATAATTGTGAACATCTGTCGGTACAGGTGTAGCCTGAGAACAGGAGTTAAAGCATGAAGATTGCATGGTCACCTCGCAGCGTGAAGCCTGAGGAAGCAAGCTGTTTCCTATGCCTCCCTGCTTGCATATTAGCATAGTTCTCTTCTGTTGCCTTCCAAGGTTTCCTGAGTCTGATTGCTTCCTATTAGTCATTTTCCTTCCCAGGCTTTTCACTGATACAGATTTAAATTATAATGAATTGCTTTTATTAGGCAGGCATGGAAAAATTAGCATGTTGTTCAAAATCACCTTGGATGTTTTAAAAAGTAAATGTTGACTTCTATCCAGCAAAGCTTTAAGGAACATGCTTAGTGTCAAATCTGGGAATAGTCTTATTTACTGCATTAAGGCTGTTCTATATTTAAATATAAGCAGGTGCTTACGTGCCGTATGTGTCAGGCACAAAGCAACTTCCCATGGTGGCTAATGTGGCTGAATAACAAAGAGGCAGTTTGAAAAGGGGCTGAGGTTCACAGGGATTTTGTTCAGCAACGGAGTGACCTTCTCTGCAAGACCCTGCCTGTAGTTTTGTGATGGATCATGAAAGGTAAACGAGACCACCACAGCTCTCTGGTCTGCTCTGTGAAAGACCATGGGATTTCACTGAATTGATTCTTGTTGGGACACGTGGGGGGTGTAGGCACTTCGACAGGCACGTATAGGGAGGAGAAGATTGGTTGAGCTCAGTAGCTTGGTTCTGGTGCTGCGACTGTTGCAAAAAGGCAGCAGAGATGGGGAGGGTGTGGGAAGAGGCTAGGAGGAGCAGGAGGTGATGGCTGAGAGCCCCCAGAAAAAGGGCTGGAGCTGCTGTTGTAGAGAAACATCCACTTGACAGCATGGAGATCTTGTAGTGAACCCAGCATTTGAAATTGGAGGGGGGAACGAGTATCATGTGACTTAGATGATGTGGGAATCAGTGGAGTTGGATGGAGATAACCTTTGAGATATGGAGAAGCAAATTGTCCAGCAATGTGGAAGAAAGATGGTGCAATGAGGAAAGTGGAGAGGGGAGAGTGTTTGATGGATGGGGATCATGGCCTGCAGAAATAACCTGTGTTTCTCCCCTCCATGCCTAGAATGCATTGCTGCCGGCAGGGCTCAGGCAGCGGGATCAGACACAAAAGCCACCAACCGGCCCATTCAAAAGGGAGGAACTCATGGCCCACCTAGAAAAGCAGGCAAAGGATGTTAAAGACAGAGAAGACTTGGTTCCTTTCACGGGTGAAAAGAGAGGTATGGTCATCCTTTGCACCATGCTGAGTGTGACACGATGAAGGCACAGTGGGTACACAGCGGAAGGGTTGTGTCCAAACCCACGTTGCTAAGGACAACTTCATTTTGACACCATTGGGGTGGTGGATCTTCTGTCTCTGTTGCCTAGCCCCAGCCCAGGCTGGCTAGTAAACTGGGCTGTGCCCAAGAGGCCCATGCACTTGCTACTTTGGGTACCACCTGATGTGTTCTTAAGTGATGGACAGGAGATGTACCACTCTGCAGCCTCTTTCCATCCTCATCCCACTGCAGCTGTGTCAAGCTCTGGGGAAGTCATTATCTTCTGTCGTATCTTGTTCCTCCTCTGCACTGTCGTCCTGTGAACTCTGCAGGCTGCGTTCTGTCTTCCACCATTGCCTTTCATGCTCCATCCCTACACTCTGAACTTCATCTTGGTATAGAGAAACTCCATAGCTCCCCTTGCTGTGATGATCCCAACAGTTCCCACGTAGTCTTCATCACCTCTTGACAACCCCAGCCTCATTTCCCAGTCTCCTGTAGCTTGCATGTTTCTATCTTTCTGCACTCTACCCTGTGGTGGCTGCAGCACCCCTGCTCTGCATGGCCCTGAAGCTTATGAGCAAGGAGTTTGCTCTGCCTCTTCTCTTTCCTCTCCTTCTGGCATCTTTTCCTGTTTTCCTGGGACATGTCCCATTATTCAAAGGACTTTCCTGCTCCCATTAGCAATCTAAGTATCATCTAACATGGGACATGGTCCAGTCAGTCCTTGCCTCTGGGTTCCAGGAGCTTCTCAGCAGCTTTTATCTGCTGTTGTGTCTCCCTCTGTACCGTGGTCTCCCTGCAGCAGAAGATCTGGTTGTATGCTGTTCGCACTATTGGTTTCCCCACATCAAAATAGAAGTGCATGAAGATATGGGCATATGAGCATGTTTCCCAGCTGGGGTATTTCTCAAAGCTGCCTCCTTACTGATCCACGTGCCTCTCTGAGACCTTGAGTTAAATCTGTCCATTTAATAAAACTTGAGGTGGTATTTTTAGCAAAAAAAAAAAGAGTTCTCCTTGAAAGGAGTAAACATAAATTGAGTGCTATCAGGAAGAGCGATTTAGCAACTTCAAGCGTACCCCAGCCCAGCATTGTCTACACACCTGGCTAGCCCAGCAGGTAGTAGCAGTGCTCTGCAGGAGACAAGATATTTCAGGCACTTTGAGTCTTCAGCATCTGGTCTGAGCTAATCATATTTCAATCTGATGTGATCTCAAACACATTAAACATATTTTCACTTGTAACACGCTCTTGAGTGAAGACACTACTTACATTGACTGTGAGCAAAAGATGGTAAATTACATATTCACAGTTGTGGCAAAGCTGGAAATAAATCACCATGTTTGCAGTTTGGAGGGTGATTTACTAGTTTGCCATGAGGAAGTGCTCTCCCTGGCCATGCTGCTTGACAAGGTGGGAGTTGGTGGGTGCATACATGCTGTATTATGATATATAATGCTGTGTTTGCCTGCACCATTTACTTTAAAATTCAAACTTGTAATAAGGCATGACTGAGATATGAAACTTTCTAAAATTAAAACCCAGAAGTTTCAAAGACACCGAGATGTCAAAAGGAGTTACTGTGTGATGGCAGAGTTAAGTTTGCCCTGTTTTTTATGTTCCCTGCTGAAAAGGTGGGTACAGTTTGCCAAGCCATGTCCCCGGCAGGGCAACGGTTCTGAGTCTCTGCACCAAGCCAGGGCTGAGGGGGCCAGCCCTCCCCAGACATTTTGCTGCAAAGTACCCAGAAGGTGCCTGGCCGTGCAGGCAAACATGATGCTCTGCCTATTTTTGCAAGAGCAGCTGTGTCCCAGGAGGCAGATTCCTGCCCTCTTTGTCAGGGCAGCATCGCGTAGGCAAGAGATGGGCCGTTTTGCAAAAGGCTGTTTATAGCAGCCTCCATTTTGTACGGAGGGGGGCCTGAAGCACAGTTGCTTCTTCTTTGAGGTTAAATTTAGCCCCGTCTGTTTCTGCACATCCCTAAGCAGCAGGATCTTTGTTTCTCCCCTTTGGTGCCGCTGACTCTGATTTCAGAGGGCGGACAAAAATAGTCCTGGTTGGCATGCCAGGCCAAGAGTTTTGCACTCGTTATCTCTCTGCAGTGATCCTGGACTGTTTCAGGGGAGGAGACTGCTCTGAAATGCTCTGGGATCCCTCCTCCTCCTCCTCCTCCCATCCTGCAGCGGCAGCACTGGGCTTACCCCTGCTGCAGTGTGTTAAAACAGCACAAGCCTCTTTCTTTTCTTTGGTGGCGGGGGCAGTCGTAGGTAGGTGCCCTGTTGTGAAATTTCAGACTTGACCTGTTCATCCTCCGCAAAGAGATCTGTCCTGCCTGTTGGCGGTGCGAGCAGTTAGGAGCAGGGAGCAGCCATGCAGTGCCATGAGCCCTGTCTGCTGCCCCATCCCTCCCTGGGACGCAGCCGACCACAGCAGGGAAGGGGTCTTGGCTTGCCCAGTGGTCATCCTGGGCAATGGGATGGGGGAATGCTGGGGAGCCCATGGCACTCAGAGCTGGGCTGGAGCCCTGTCACTCTCTGCACAGCCCCTTGTCCATGTGGGCAGCCCCTGTTAGGAAAAGGCCACAGGCAAGCAGCTGAGATGGCATCTTTGTGTTACCAGCTGTACCTGTTGTTTTGCACCTCTGACTTACGGTTCCTTGGCCTGTTCCTGTCCTGGGAGATAGAGCACGGAGGTCTCCATCTGGCATGCCCTCCATATCTCTGCCCCCTGCCCTACTGTCCTCTGCAGCGATGTTGAGCCAGACCAGCTGCCCCAAGCCTGCTCCTCCTTGCATCCCGTGTGCTCACTGGGCTGCTGTCCCTGCCTGCTCCCAGACCCTCTCCACCACCTCCTTTCCACCTCCTTTTGACTAATTTGCCATCTGTCCTGCCACTGTGCATTTGGAGTTAGCAGCAGGAGCTGTCTCAGCAGCAGGACCAATCCTGCACAGTGCTGGATCTGGGCCACTGGCCTCTCTTGGTCCATGTAAGTGGTGACAAATCGCCACCCCTTTTATGCATCCACCAATGAACTGAAGACCTGCAGGGTCAGGCTGTGTGTGGGTTTCTGAGTGCTGTGCATTGAACAGTCATCGTCCTGTACAAATGTACTGTTGGGTTTTTGTAGTTGCAGCCCTCTGCGCTGGTGAAAGAGTCCAGCTCCATAGCTGGAGGTGCCTGGCAGGGACCTCCTGGCTCAGATCGCAGCAGGACTGAGCTAATGGGAAGGGATGCAGTGTCTCTGATTTTTCCCTAGGTCCTTTTGCCCACTCTGTCCTTTCCACTGTGCAAATCTCACCCGACGGAAGTGCATCTGCGTGGCTAGTTGTGAAACAGGTGCTATAGCTATACTGAGAGCGACCTCACTTTGCATTTACAGGAAAAGCTTGGATCCCCAAGCAGAAGCCGATGGATCCTGTTTTGGAAAGTGTGACTCTGGAGCCGGAACTGGAGGAAGCCCTTGCTAATGCCTCTGATGCAGAGCTCTGTGACATTGCTGGTAAAATAGTTTCATGTGAATTGGGCATTCAAGTTGTTCGACTACTAGTTTCTTTTTGTTTGTTCTTTTATGGGAAATGAGCTGTTCAGGTTTTTGCTGTTTATGTGAATGCTGTCAGTTTTAACAGGATTTATTTTTTTGTTAAAAAAGAAGTATATATTTAAAGTTACTCTCAGCCCATGTGACTTACTCAGGAGCATGGACCAAAGGTGAAGAGTGAGAAGAAGGATTTATCAAAGGAACAGAGTGTGCTGTTTGATTTCTTCTCCTGTCTCTGCCACTGAATCTTGCAAATTGCAGCTTGTCACCTTCAGGAGCACGGCTTTCTTCAAGCCAAACTTCTAGGAAACAATCAAGCAGACCCAGTGAGGATGTGGGTTTCGTGTGCAACCTATTAAAGGAGCTGTCAGGTTAGAGGAGTCTCTCGATGAACGCTCAGGGCTGCCATTTGTTGAAGAGCTTTTCCAACACATTTTAAAGCTATGGATTTCTTGTGATTTGTGCAGTCGGTTGGTTTTATGAGTGTTAGCTCAGGGTGGGGGAATCCAGCGTTAAAAGGTTGGTGTACTTCACGAAGACTGAGAAGTAGGTTGGAATGCATAGCAAGCTGGAGAGGGGGACAGAGCGACTGCAGTTGCTGTTCGAGCCCCGGCAATGTGCTCTTCACCAGGCTGAACAAGCCCTGTGCAAACTGAGAAGGACAGACATGGTCCCTATCTGAGGGGTTTACACCTCCATGCTAGGTAAGTTCCAGCAGTGTCCCATTGCTGCTTCTCAGGCAGTGTTGTCTGGGTGGAGGTGACTCACTGCAAGCCTCATTGCTCTGCTGCTTTGGAGATGACAATCTGAAGCCAGTAGTGTGGACTTAGCTCTGTGACTGGGATAGGATATGCCTTGGTCAAAGGAGCGTATGTACACCCCTTTGGTGCTTTTCTGAGCTCACGTGTGCCCTGCTGGTCTAGCAGTCGATGAATATTTCAGTGCTACCGGCTTCTTCTTCCACTTCTGTCTCCTTCAGACTTCTGTGCTCTCTAGCAGTATCCTCCTTGCCAGAAGTCTGTAAGATAGCCTGTAGAATAACCACACCAATTAGACATTGTCTACATAGTAATGTCATATTCTGGCTTAGAAATGTTTCTGCATTAAGGCTTCTGACATATGTACCCTGGCCAAGAATTGCATCTCTGGGTTTTGCTTTTTTACTGTACTCCTAGTACTCCTGTAAAGCCCTATTCTATAAAAGCTGCCTTTCTAAACTCCAGATCTGTGCAGCAATGATTTTCACAGAGAAATGCTGTTTGGGGCAGCTTGTTCTGCAATTGTGGGGAGAACACACTTGAAGTGGCAGCAGAACTGATGTGATACAAGCTGTGCTGAAATCTCAATATTGACAGTGACGGCGTTGCTCCTGCCTGTTTAGCAGGGCTTGTTGTCAGCCGTGGTGTACTGGATCCCTTCCTTGGCAAGACTGGTAGGATAGCTCTTGTGGGTGGCTCCCAACAAGTCCTGGAAGGGCTCCCATTCCTTTGGTCAGCTGCAGGAGGGAGAAATGGGATGCCTTTGTTCTGCTTGAGTTCATTTGAATAATAAATGGTAAGTGCCAGGCTTACAAACAGCAGGTCTCTCTTGTCTACCAAACTGTAGCTCAAAAAAACCCCGTGTGGTCCCAACAGCAGATCCTTCTGCAGTCCAGATATTCACAGTCCTGGCTGGTGGAGAGATTTCATTGTCAGAGTAAGCTGGTTTTGAGGGGTATGTGTGTCCCCAAAATACTGAGCCTGCAAATTATTTTTCCAAGCTGTGTTGCACTCCTGAAAATTTAATCTGTGAGTACATGGCAGAGAAAAGGGACAGCTAAAATACAAACAAAATGCCCAGCCTCACTCAAACTTTCAGACAGAGACTGCTTGGCTCTGTGCAGTCCAGCTGGGGATGTGCTGGGGGGGATGTGGGGAAGTGGACGATGGTGTTCGTTGATGCCCTTTGCTGCAGGCTGTCCTGCCCATGCAACCCAGTCCTGAAGTCACAGTGAGCTGTCACCGTAACAGATGCCATTCATGTGATGGGCCTCAGGGATAGCCTTCTCCTGCAACTCCCAGCCTCCTTGGGCAAAGCACAGAGCAAATGGTCAGAGACTGGCACCAACCAAGCATAGGAGGAGTAGCTTATGGGAAAGCAAAGTGTCTTTGTGGTGGTGTACTTGAATTTTAGGGAGAGATTTGTCCTTTATTTATTTTAACCACTGTGCCCATCTGGAGGTCAAGATTTGTTCAAATGTGGCTGTTTATAACAAGTATTCATAACTCTGCATTTTTCTTTACAAAGTCATATAGTTATTTTTTTAAAAAAGGCATATTAAAGAAACAGTTTATTTTCAAATATGAACTTTCTGTGAGTAGCAGGGTTATTTTTATAAAAAGAATCTTTGCCTAAATGTTTCTAAGCCATTGGCTTCCCACTGCTCATTTGCAGCTGGCAAGAATGTCAGCATATCCCTCTGGGTGCGTTTCAATGTGCATTTGCATATAGATTTTGCAGTTGTGACCCTGAGATACACAAATTTGCAGAAGTTTGGCTTTTGGGCTCTTACAGTCTTTGAATTTTGTTCATACCATCATTTTCTGCATTTTGACCAAGCCAGCAGAGCTTTACCTTCTTACAATGTCAACTTCCAAGCGTACAAAGATCAATTCAAAGCACACGACCACCACCGCCCACCCTGCTTATTCTTGAGTAAAAACATGATGTGCATTGCCATGCTTTGGATGACAGTCACCTCATCTGTTGCTGCCCGAGGGGTTAGTTTGGCTCTGTGTGGGGCACAGCTCATCTCAAAAACTGGACTGTGGTCGTGTGTGGCACACATGCCCAGGTGAGCAAAAGGATGATGAGGATGTGCAGGCCTCTCCTGGAATGGACTTCTTAGATCAAATCCTACCAATGTCATTTTTCTGGTGTTTTATTGTCTTCCCTTCACTATTTTTGTGTGATGCTGAATCAAGTCAGCTACTGGGAAGCCTTGGCTGTTTGTCTGTTTGTTGTCCACAAAATGATATTCCTCTTCTCCTATGAATCATGCTACATTGGAATAAACAAGGGAGCACATTTAAGCCCTGTTGTGTATTTATGACAGCTGGGGCCCTTGGTCCCACCTTTGTATGTTGTTCTGTGCTTGCACAGGGAAAGGTAATGCACCATGGACCTCCATCCTGGGCGTCATGACATGTATACATCTTTGCCTGGCTTTGGAGCCTGAAATAACTCAAGTTGTCTTCTCTTCTTTTTCTGTAGCCATCCTTGGCATGCACACCTTGATGAGTAACCAGCAGTACTACGGGGCACTGGGGAGCAGCACCATCGTGAACAAAGAAGGGCTCAACAGTAAGTGATTTAGAGCGTTAGCAGGCTGCAGTGTTTGGCTTTGAAACTGCAGAAGCAAAATGGGAGTTATTTTTAGGCTGAAGGTTGGAGCCATGAATGTCAGAGCAACCTGTGGTTGCTGAGGCCATCTCTGGTTCATCCTTGCCCTGTACAAGCCAGCGTGGTCTCAGCTGCTGCCCTGACGCAATCCAGGAGCTAGCACAGCCCAGAGAACAGCCCCATGCAGGCAGTGTGCCCTCCGTCCCCCAGTTTTGGACCCTGAGAGTGCATAGCAGCAGGCACCGGCTGTCCTGTGCTAGTCGACCCCAGTGCCGGGCAGCCTTTCTGGATGCACTGAGTGTAGGTGGAGCTGAAGAGGGCTTCTTCAGTCTCTCATCGTGTCTGTTTGTCAGGTCATGCTTCCCTCTCCCAGCACTGCTTCTGGAAGAGGAGAAGCACACCCAAAAAGAACATGCTGCTGTGCAGGGTGCTTTTGGTTTCACATGTCTGGCTTTTCACTTTCAGGTGTGATTAAGCCCACACAGTACAAACCAGTTCCTGATGAGGAACCAAACTCAACGGATGTGGAGGAAACTCTGAAACGAATACAAAGCAATGATCCTGACCTTGAGGAAGTCAACCTTAACAATATTATGGTATTTGCTCCTTTCTACTCTCCTTTCTTAATAACAGGACCAAACATTTGATACAAAGAAGGTAGAGACCAAGTCTGTTTTGCTGGACAGAGTAATACCATAACGCTGCATGTAGCCAAACAAGAAACAGCAGTGCTTCCCATCTCTGTTTTGGGCAACAGGGGTTGTTACGTGCTGTGGGACAACAGTGTGAGGTTGGTAGCCAGAGGATTCCTGTAGATGCCTTGAAGAGCGGAGCTATGTTGAGGGTACTTTGGGAGACCCATCTCCAGCGCGTCTGGTTAAAGGCATTCTAGGTTGCTTTAATGGGTTAGTAAGGCACATTTGGTGGAGGGGCTATTTATGTAAGATAAAATGGTGGGAGGAAAAAAGCTTCATAAACCTGACATTTGCCATGAAAATATGAAGAAATGTCCCTTATTGCAGGTAGCCCTGTCCATCTCCCAGCCATCCCTTCTGTGGGACTCCTTTACTTCTTGTAGAAAGCAAATCAGGACACAGCACCACTTCTTATGTTGCCTCTAGGATACATATGCACACTAAAAAATACCGTTTCCATCTGTCCTCCCTGACTCCAGTACCCCCATCCCATGGGGTCTATTGAAAGAGGACATATTCAAATAGCATGAACGTCATTAACTGCATGTGCACGTTAAAAACACTTGTGCCATGCCACCTGCACCTTTCAATAACGAAAAGATTTTTACTTTCATGTATTTGATCATGGCTAGTGACCCTGAACGTCCCGTGAGAACACCAGGCTGATGATCTGACAGGCAGACACTCTTTTTGTGTGTTGGACTCATGACTTTGGGGCATGGTTTGGAGAACTGGGGAGTGGCGGTGGAGACGGTAAGCTGCTGAGCTCTATGTTTTGGCTCTGCAGATGGATTTGGCTATAGATGATTTCACATGGTGAGATCCAAATGGTATGGCAAGAAGTCCAAGCTGAGGATACCACTTAAAGTTTTAGGTGATTTGTGCATCTGAAAAAATTAGTACATCTGAAAAGGGTATCTAAAGTGCTTGATAAGTGAAAAATGCTCATTTTGTAGGAACTCTAAATAAGCAGCATGGATTTATTTTCTGGGCTGAGCCCTAGCATGGCAAATGTTAGCCTGAAAGATGTTGTATAAAGCAGTCAGAGGTGTCTGTGGTTTGTACTACAAGAGGAGATTGTTTCAGGTCTTTCTGGATCAGGCCCTGTAGATGGCAATTTTCCTGACTGTGATGCGAATGTTGTTCAGTGCTGTCATTTGTATTAAAAAGTGCAGGAGCAGTGCTTTGTATGCTCATGGATCCTAGTTACATACATCCCCACAACGCCTGCACTCGTAAGTAGCTGAGTTTTTGGGCAATTAAATTAAACAGCAGAGACTTTGTAGCTTCAAATCAAGGCAATGAGCTATCAGCCGGGTCAGAAGTAGGATGAAGACATTGCTGTGCACTTAGGCCATGCCAATTATAGCGATAGAACTTGTAAAAACATTTATAGACCCCTTCGTAAATTACTTCAGTGCTTTTGGTTATTTGACCTTGATAAGAAATTTAAAGTATTGTTTAAATGTATTGCATATTCCTTCATACAGATGATGGCCTAACACAGGTTTTCTGCATTTCTTTTCACAGAATATTCCCATACCAACTTTAAAAACTTTTGCAGAAGCACTGAAAAATAACACCTACGTGAAGAAGTTCAGTATAGTTGGAACACGGAGCAACGATCCTGTTGCTTTCGTAAGTACTGTCGGCTCATTGTCGTAAAGTTGTGACAGGAGCTGTCAGAGTTACTGACTAACTGCTTTTGCACCTTACATTGCGCTTGGTGCATTGCACACCTCTGGAATTTAGTGCAGGTGCTTCAGTTTCAGGAGCGCTAGTGAAAGCCAGTGACAGACAGGCTTTGGTTCCTTTGCTTCTGTTTTCAGATTTCAGGACACAATCCTTTAATCCCATGCAGTCATAGTTGTCCTCAAGGATCTCCCGGAAAAGGAGCAGGAGACAAGAACTGACTTTCTAGTGGCATTTTGTAAAAGCAGTTTGTCTGTCGTGATTTATCCTACAGCAGGGCCACCTCATTTGTTTCTGTTGGTACAAAGTCATATGCTGCTGTGTGCACACCCATCCCTCCCTTCACACGTCTGCTCTGGCTCTCTTTCGTATATTCCTTTGTGCAGACCTGTGCTGAAGCGGGACTCTGCATGTCTTTTGCATGGCCTTTGTGGGTGATAAAGGGTCTTTCTGGCTGCTGCAAGCGGTCTTAAATACCAGTGGGGATGCAGAGGGGTGCTGAGAGTTCTGCCTGCCCCTCGTGCTGCCTTCCAGGCTGCATCCTTGCATGCTCCTCCAGCACCATTGCAGCCAATTTTTGCTCTTCTTCACCCAGGCCAACCCTTACCTACCTCCGCCCACATATATGCACACGAGTTTCCTGTTAGAAAAAAAACTTCCTTTTGGAGGGTGAGCACAGCCCTGACATTATTTCAGGCACTCTGGACTGGGGAAGAATCCTGTGCAGGCAGCACTGGTGGTGTTTGAGGGCTGGTGGGGAGGGCTAGGGGATCTGTGGAGCCAAGTGGTGTGTGAGTGGGTGCAGGTCAGCCCTGCCACTTGGGCATTGCCCTCTGGTCTTTCTGTTTCATGACATAGGTGGGTCCTCCCATGCACCTTATGAAATGAGATCATCAGATCAGGTCAGGGGTGTTGGGAGTGTGCCAGCCCATTTCTGGTCTTACCTGTTGGGGCAAGGAAAAGTGATCAATATCGTTGTGATGCCACTTGAGAAGACGTCTTGGGCATGGAGAATCCATTGTTGTTCAAGACAGGTGCTCCTCTCTCTGCCTGCTGTGATGGGACGCATCTCGACCCACTGCAGCGGGAGCAGTGTGGGGAGGGAGCTGATCAGGCAGGAGGCAGGGCCAACGTTGGCCTGCCATCACCACACTGGCTTTAGAAGAAGGACAGATGAAGCTGTCACAGGGCAGGCACAGATGTGGACTGTTGCCTTTTGGGGTAGCCCTAAGGGTTTGTCCGTATGAGGTTTTGCTGTGGCATCCAGCATGCTCATGTTCAAAAATCCCCCTGCAACAGGGGGGGAACCTCCTTCACCCAGCACAGAGCTCTCCCATCTGGTGGCAGTGAAACTGCTTGGCAGATGTGGTCCTCCCGGTGTCATCCGGAGGCGAGGGAAGTTGAACCCCTGCTGCTCCAGGGTGCTCTGCCTCTGCCTGTCTGAGTACCAGCTCTTCCCCCCCATCTCTGCCTACAGGCACTGGCAGAAATGCTGAAGGTCAATAACACACTGAAGAGCCTGAATGTGGAATCAAACTTCATTTCTGGGTCAGGGATCCTGGCTGTTGTCGAAGCGCTCCAGGGCAACACATCGCTCGTAGAGCTGCGCATCGACAACCAGGTAAAGCACGTGCCAGTGGGAGCTCTGATCAAGTGGGATGTCCTGGTTGTGGGAAATTGAGAGGCTGGTCAAGGTCAAGGGTGGCAGCCCACCACCGCTGCCAGGTGGCTTTGAATAGGTGTCAGCCCCTTGCTTCTGCTGCAGTTCCTGGGCAGTATCTGCTACTACCTAGAGTATTGAACAAAGGCTGTGGCAGTGCAAGCAGCTTTCTCTGTTGCTGGTGCTGCCTTGGAGAGTGGTGATGCCCTTGTCCAGTATCATGCCTTGCTCCAAGCTCTTGTGGAGACTTAAATAATAATGTCTGTTTAGCACAACTGAAATTTTTGCTACAATGCAAGG